AGCGAAACGAGGCATTGCACATCAAGTCAGGGCATCTCGTAGCCCGAGGTTTCTGTGGACCATGGAGCGCACACAGCTCTTCTGAGGGCAACCCCTCCACGGCACCTCCCCGGCACCGCCGTTGGGGTCGCCAGGGTCGCCCGGAACTGTCCCGGGCGACCAGGGCACCCTGGCCCAGGTGCACCGCTCCGCCCGCCAGCCAAGTCAAGCCCTGGACGGGGCCCAAAAACAACCCCAAAAGCCAACCGAAGTGGTCAGCGAGGACCATACGGCTCCGAACACACCTCCAAACCGTAAAACAAACGGACCTGGGCGCGACAAGCTGGGCACGAACGGGCCCGTGACGCACCCTTCGTCGGCAGAGCACTGGCCTGCATCACCAGGCACGATCGAGCCGCATCCAGCCCTGGCGAGGAGAAGTGTCCCAAGAGCATTGGAAACTTGGATTCCGTCGTTGGTCTGTTACTATAGAGGAAGCTATGAGGCAAACGTTGAAACACATATTCAGCCAATCTGTGCATATGCAGTTTGTTGAAGAAGGACGGCATCAACGCGACGCCAAGGAATGTCATAGACGCGAGCCTTTGGCCTAGACGCACGTCGCGCACGACTACCCAAATAGCGCAGTTCTGCAACCGGTAACTAGTTTCTGGGGGGGTGCACGGACACGCGAAACACCGATGAACTCAGCGTTAGCTGGCAGCTGCCTCACCCTCATGCCCCGTCCCCCGCCTCCTCCCGCATCCCCGTGCCTTCACCTCATCCCCCCCATGTCCGTGCGATTCCTCCCCCTCCTGACACCCCTCCCGCTCCTCGTTTTCGCGCTCTCCAATGCCCTTTCATGTCGTCCCTCCTCGTCCTCCTCCGCCTTGCGCGCTCCCCCATCATCCGTATCCTTGCCCTCCTCCCCTCCCCTGCGCCCTGGCGCAGCGCATCCCCATCCGTTTGCCCACCCTCACTTTCCTCGTCCCCGTGATGCTGAAACCGAGGCTGCAACTCCTCCTGGGCCCATTTACGCCCCTCTCCTCCTCCCCCTTTCATCCCCCGGCCCCTTCGCCACCCCCCCTCTCGAATCCCTTCCCTCCCATGCCCCCTCATCCCTGACCCCCGCGCCGTCTGCCCTCCCAAACCACGGCCCCCTCCTGGACCAGCCGGGAGATCCACGGAAATTCCCACCCAGTGGCGACTCCAGCGAGTAGCGCGGGGCAAATGCACAGTTTGACACGCGAACTGTGTATCTCGCGAGCGTAGAACGCCCCCCCTGGACCAGCCGAGGGAAATGCGAATGTCCCCGCCCAATCGCCACCACCCGCGAGGAGCACACTCCAAATACACAGATGGGAACAAGATCTGTGTACACAGATCACACCACGATGTGTGTAAACAGTGGACCCGCGCACGCGATTACACAGTTGAAGACGCAATCTGTGTACACAGATCACACATTGATTTGTGCATTTCAAAAAGGTGAACGCTCGCCACCTCGAAGGTGCCCCTACTTTGCCAAACCAGAATCGAGATCGACATGCCCAGTCCGGGAGGAATGCAAATACACACTTGCCTGGCCCAGGGCGGCCCCGGGGGGGCTGCGAATACACAGTTCCCTGGCCCAGGGCGGCCACCGTGGGCTGCGGCGCCAAGGCGGCCGAATCTGTCCCGAATACGTCCCTAGAGGGCCCCGATGGACCCGCAAGGCCCCGCAGCAGTCCGATAACACGA